ATCCATTTTAAGGGCTATACCAGTAACATGTATATTATAAATAACTTCAAAGACCTGTATTTTAATTATAGAATTAAATTATATTAAGGTAATTTAATTCTATTAAGGTATTATATTAAGAAATTTAGAAAATATACAAATAGTAATAAGCATTTTTTAAAAACTCTTTCCGCCCTGTGGGCACTAAGAGGGCCTCTTTGCAAGCCCATTATGGGTTCGGCCAGGCCCATGATGGGGCTGCCGGGTGGTGAGGGACGGGGCCCGACATATCCGAACAGACCCACCCCCCGAAAATTTCCTGGAGATTTTTCGACCCAGTTCGGATTCGAGCCCGGGACCCCCAGAGCGGTAGGCTGCCACCTTGACCGCTCGGCCAACCGGCCAGTAATAAGAATTATTATGATAATCATTATTATTATTATTATTTATTTTATTTTTCGTTTTCAGCAACACAAAATAAGTTCATACGTATCCATTATGATATTGAATTGTCCTACAATCAAAGGTAGAGTAAACTTCATAAATTATTTGTTATTTTCTATAAGATAACATTACAGTTCTCATTTAGCATAAATAATTTTGCTAGATTTAAAATAATTCGCAAATAATAACAATCATTATACGACCAAATTTTAATAAATAATAGTTGAATTGAATAAAATATTTATTTTGAATAAATCAGTTTTAAATTCACAGAATTATTTTTTTCTTCGTAGAATTTGCGATTTTTAAAATTATGTATCGTATCTTTTGAACTGATTGTTTATTTTGTAATTCAAACGAATAGTTTTAAAATAAAAATTATGATTATAATTTGCAATTTTAAAAATTTGTTGGGCTTCTTAATTGTTTGATTAACTAATAATGGTGAGGTACCCACACGATTAAATAGATGAAGAGAAGGAACAACGCTCACCACTCACTACACATAAAAAAATGGAGCTCTGGATCTCATGAAGTGAAACTGCACTAAGGGATGGTGTAACTACAAGTATCTGTTATTCTTCCTTTCCCTTTATATCCTACCTTCTAATGGAAACATGGCAACTATATGTTGTAAACTTATAAAGGATAATATAGTAAGTAAAGTTTGTTTTATTTCATTCCAAAACATGATGTAAACAATGAAAAATGATATCAACATAAACTGGAAAGACAGAAAACTACTAATGCTTACTCATTTATTTTACACACTTAAAATGACTGAAAGTTAATCAACAATGGGTTTGGTTTGATGGGATAAAGAAGTAAGATATGCCAATAGGAAAGACTTTTTATGAGAAAACTGGCTCTTATTAGACACGTGAAGTAAACCAGATAAACTCCATGCGGCTAGCCAGTTAATGTCGCTCAAGGGCCGAGTTCTGCCTATATTCCTAGAAAGCGATATCATTTTGTTAAAACTCTTTCCGTCCTACTGGCTGTAAAGATTTTTTTCAAGCCCATCGTGGATTCAGCCAGGACCGTAATAGAGAGACCGGGTGGCGAAAAAGAGGACCACACAGAGAATCAAGAAATATTTCGCATTTAATAAATTCACAAAAATAAACTGGTGTAGCCCACTGGGCGGTTCTGCACTGGCGAGTTATGTAAATTTAAGCATTTTGGTTAAACCGTTAAGCAGTTAACACTGTGATATAAAACAAAATTAAAGCAAAAGCATGCTTAAAATAGAGTTAGAATTTCGTATATTTATATCGTAATATCAGTAGAGATAATAACTTTTAACATTTAAATTACTATTTATAGAAATGATTTTAAGAATAAATAATAAAAAAAGAATGATGTCATTGTAATGTGGATCTGACACCCGCCAAATAACTTAGTCGCCTAATCTGATCAATATTAAACTGATACTTAATCTGATCAAGAAAGTCATGCTAAAGTTCCCTTCAAGTTTTTTTTTGTTTAATTTAATAAAATGTCAAGGTCTCCTTATCGTCCTTTCCTAAATCTGCCCCTGTGAATTGCCAGCACACGACCAAGTACTAGTGTTCAATGGTTTTATTGGCTACACTGGTGGCACATAGGCAACAAGTCAGAATTTTAAAGAATTGCGGTTTTTACCTACAGATTACACCTATCAAATTTCAAATCTATAAAAATTCTCATAAATTTATCTACGAACTTATTAAGAATTATCATCTATTTTGTTTAAATTTTCCAAAATAAATTCATAAAATAAAAAATTAAATTTAGGAATAACAATCTTAATTATTTATATCAAAATTTTCCTTTAATAAATTATAAAATTCTTTAAATATTCTTTACTTTTTATGCATTTCAAATGAGCTTTTATAAACCAGTATACGCAGATAACAATTTTAAAAATGTTTTACCTGCTTTAATTTATAATTTTTTTTATTAGTTATACAGGTATATAAAGTAAATTGTCATTGATCTTTAGCTCGATGTCAATTTATATTTTATTACTAGTTTTATTAAATGCTCTTATCATTTTAGCATTATAGAAAAATCATTTTTGATATAATCAAAACAACTTAATGCACGCAGAGGACATCGATCCAGAAGTAAACGCAAATATAATCTTCAACTTTTACATTTATAAATCATCAGAAAACGATACTTAATTTGAAATATTAGTATTAGACAAACATCAGAAGAATACATATAGTTAGTGTTTAAGATTTTTTGGTTGATTGGTGTAAATCACAATCATGTTTTAGGATATATGCTAATTAGCGGAGGGCCCGATCCAGAATGGGGTAAAACATATTTTATCTGTTTTTATTATTCAAATTCATTTTTTATCAACTAGTAGATCACTACAATTATGAGCTTCGAAATAATATGACCATTTTCTATTGTGCTAAAATGGGGTCAGTAAATAAAATGTTATAAAATATGTTCACTCTACGCTATTGTAATTATGAATTCAAGTATATTTTCATTTATTAAAATCAAAATAAAGGACAAAATTCGGTTGGATGCATCTTAAATTTGAGATATTCAAAAATCTGTATGAGAATTTTACCTCTTTCCGTTTTATTATTGTAATTCACGCATGTTATCAGTCGGTTGCCGTTATCAAAATTAGCAGGTTCAAAAACATACGAGCTTGAAAATGCATAAAAACGAACTTAAAAATTTTGCTTCTTATAATGCGAATTTTGTTGTCATCATTATCTTGTACATAGGCCTTTTAAAGCTCTCTTTTCGTGCTATCAGCCTCAACATCTGGTTGTTAGTATGCAAATGTTATTAGTTATTATCAATCTTAACCAACGCTTTAATTAAACATTAAACGTTAATCGTTTTAATCGCTACGTGCCTCAAACATAAAAATTTAAATTGTTAGCGTTATTCTAGGTGTTGTTGAAGTTTATATCAGACAAAATATTGGATGAATTACACACCTTTAAATTGTATTTTTAAATTTTTAAATTCTAGTTTAATTTACTTATTCTACTTAAGTTTATCAGTCGATTATTGTTATCAGTTTAGATCATTCTAATTTATATAAGAAACCAGTCAAATAAATTTGGTGTCGTAAATGTTGCGTGCACAATAAACCAACATGCAATACTCCCAAATGGTTTACTATTGATGTAAGAAAATAGACATATGCAGTATATCGATATATTTTATTTCATGAAATTATTCTTCTAATTCTGAACTTTTATAAAACTTTAATGTTTCTATTATTATCTAAACATTATGATTAATTTTTAATCGATCGATCAAACAAAAAACGCATTTTAGTTTGGTATACGCCTAATTCCAAATATGTACTTGTACACTTGCATTCGTTTTTATTGTATTTTGTTTACTATCCGAAAAAAATATAGTTTACTTTTATGTTATACAAAAGTATAAATTCCGCCATTTTAGTCTATTTATTCTAATGAAAAAAACCTTCAATTTAATCAGTGGATATTGATGATTTGCCAAGAATCCATAGTTATCTATAAATAATATTGGTGTTTTAATATTATGGATATAAACAGTTATTCAGAGATTTTCATATCTGAAATTTCTATCTTTTAGTCCATATATTCAATACTTTTTTGTATATGGAACATACATAGTTCATATTATAAAAAATTATGACGATAGAAATTGAAAATGTTCATTCTTAAATCGTCAATAATATATATAAAAATCTGCTGTTTTATGCAGATTTTTATTACTTCTTCTCTGATACATTCTCTTTTATATTGCTGCCTTACAATGGGGTCGGCAGCATAAAGAGATATAAAATAAAAGACTTGTTGCTTGTTAAAGTAGCTTTAGTAAAACTGAATAAGCATGCCAATGATGTATTCCGTTTCAAATGAAACGGACTATCGCATTGACTTGATTATGGATTAGGTTAGGTTAGCTGCAGCTAACCTAACTTAACCTAACTTAATGTAGCTGCTTTACCAGACAAAACGCCCAATGATTAAGCCCATTATAAACAAGCCCAGTTCACAATAGGTCGGTTCAGACTGTAATGGGACTGATTGTGGCAGGTAATATAGTTTAAATGTGCCGTTAATCAATCAAGCACGAATTCATTATTGTCTTATAATAAAATGCAACAATATATTTTATTATATTCAACAGAAATGGTAATTTTAATATTTTAAAAAGCTACTTACGACTTTGCATGAATATTGAGCACGTCTGAGTATCGTGTGGAAAATAATGCAAATCCATATTACAACTAAAAAGTTGGGTTATTCTGAAATTAGATAATAATTTTTAATTTTATAAGTATTATCGATAATCAAAAGAATATGTATAAAGTACTAGATCCAAATAATATTACATTAATTAACCAATGCAAAATTTAGCAGTTGAAGCCGCTCTTTTCTTACTGCGCGGTGGTCAAGATTATTGGTAATTTTCAGTGTTGAAAACAGCAGTTAAATGAAAAAAATTGATTTTTAATGCCANAAAATGTATTCCACTTAATCAATTTTTAGACATATTATATTTAATATATAAAAAATTATATGTTTATATTGTAAAAATATGTTTCAATGTTAACTTACCTGTAGAATAATGAACATGGCAAGTGTGACAAGTATAATTGATTATATCAAATTGGCTTAATTTCAAATATTCGACGATTGTCATCGATCTACCTGGATGCCATATAAGATCCATTTCTTCACGAATAGTATTTACTAAAATAAAATTTGTTTTGTAAAATAAAATGTTTATATATATATATACATCACAACTACATTGTATAATACAGTATTGCAACAAAGTGTTCCATGGTAAGTTACATATCTCAATGATGTCTACGATTATAATTTGCATAATTTTTTTACTCGACCTCAAGGAGAGAAAAGTGCTCCTCTGCGGACGACCATTTGTATATACAGTATACACTGGATCCTATTAACTGTAATCGGTCTGAGAGAAAAAAATTCTGACTTCGAGCAAAAAGTTTCGAGTTATGGAGGTTCGGCTGAAAATCAAGATTTTTTGTCTCGATGTATTATTTGTGAATACTTTATTGGTGACCCATAATAAATTATTCATACAATATTTTCCTGGATCTTATTACGTAGAATCGTCCTGTCAATGTACACTTGTCCAATTGTCTCGATGTTGTCCAAAAATCGGAAAACGCTTAACCGAATTGGTAAATAAGCTACCGAGAAATGTTTCCTCGAATGATTGATACGTTTACTCTTAAATGTTTAGTACGGAGTTTTTTAATTGAGATAATTCGTGCCTAGACAGTAGCGTAGCATAGTGGGGGAGGCAGGGGCGGCCCGCCCCAGGCGGCACTTTTTAGGGGGCGGCAAAATTTCACAATAAATAATAATATCTTGTAAGAATTTGAACCATTTTATTTCATATCTTCGTCCACTTACGATTCAGACTGAAATGAGCATGGAATAGTGTTACCATCCTGACAGTCCGGGGATATCTTGCGCAACCTGTCGACCTTTTTTTTTAATTTTTATTTTTTTGCTTCTACGATTTATTCGTATAGAACTGATTTAGAACCAGCATGCACTGCACATTATTCTTCGCATTGCAAAATGACATGCCGTCAGGGATTTCTGTTCGAACTAACCTCACCTGCCGTCCGGGTCAGCGATTTTAAAAAGGTAGCAACACTAGCACGGAATTTTTCATTACTTATTCTGTGACGAAACTGAATTTTAGTCTTTTAAATTGAGATACCTAAATAAGGGGGGG